GATTTTTTAGGTGAGACACAGTGTGCGCGGAACTGAGCCCACCCTTTAATCCTGAGGTTCATCTGCCGGGGCCAAGCACGCTTGGACGGTGGCAGCGAGGTCCTCAGGACGTAGATGGATTGCCTTACAGGGCTAACGAGCTCCATCTGCCCGGGGAGTGGCCCTGACCGGGAATCGAACCCGGGTCTCTGCAGTGACAGTGCAGCGCCTTTACCCTCTAGACCACCAGGGGCTCCCAGCTTAATTTAATCATGCACAGTAGATGTGGTGGTCACTGTAGGTGCTCCGTCTCCTGACTTCCAGTGGCATGCAGACAAGCTCTTTCCTGGTGTGGAGGGGATGTATGTGCATATAGGAGATGGGAATGAGGAGGTGCTACGTGCCTCTCCTCAAAGCACGACAGGGAGCAGACAATTTATCAACCATGCCACTTGGCTCCCTTCCCTCAGGGGGCCCAAGCTTCTAGTCAGCTGTTCTCCATCCTGCTGTCCCCACAAAGCAGTAAGTTTTCCATGTGAAAAGCCCTTCTGATTTGCAATAAAAATTTATGGACTTGTAATGGATGGTCTGTCACCCACAGCAATTTGGGGATGGACAAAATAAGGTTTGATTTTAAGCTATTACACTTTTAACTACCAGCAGAAGACAAAAAGACATCCCAATGGTCTGGTCACCAAAGCAAACTCAATTAACTTACAGACATCTTTGTCGACACAGCTGTATTTTACATTATCTGAGAAATACATGTGTGCCATGAATTAAAATTTAAGCAGTCCTACAGATCCAAGTTTAGTTCATCTGGGGCAGAACAGTGGCATTTATTGTTTTCTTTAATAGCAAATTATTACATGATGATTTTATTTCTCAACAGAGACACGCAGGATACCAGAACACTTTGGAAAGTTTTTCTAACAGGCAGTGGATGGCCTGCTTATGAAGGCTGCTGTGTTGCAGAATCACAGAATATCCTGAGTTGGAAGGGATCACCAAATTCCAACTCCTAGCCCTGCATAGGACAGCCCCAAGAATCACATCATGTGCCTGAGAGCATTGTCCAAACACCTCTTAAACTCTGTCAGGCTTTGTGCTGTGACCAGTTCCCTGGGGAGCCCGTTCCAGTGCCCAGCCACCCTCTGGGTGAAGAACCTTTTTCTAATACCCAACCAAAACCTCCCCTGACACAACTTCAGGCCATTCCCTTGGGTTCTGTCACTGATCACCAGAGGGAAGAGATCAGTCCCCGAACCTCCCCTTTCTCTCAAGAGGAAGTTGTAGACTGCAATGAGGTCTCTCTCCTCAGTCTCCTCCAGGCTGAGCAGACCAAGTGCCCTCAGCCGCTCCTCATATGGCTTCCCCTCAAGGCCCTTCACCATCTCCGCAGCCCTCCCTGTTGCCTTCGCACCCATTTCTTTCCCGCACTATGTCCCTTGCCCAGCCAGACGATGTCCCATCTCCCTGCTCAATGAAGGATGCCGCGCTGTGTATTCTGTGCCACAGAGAACCTCGTGAGAAACCCACCCTAATCGCAGCTCACCCCTAATGCAGTAGGTGTTGCACCTTGGCATTAAAGCTTCCCCAGATCCTACAGTTCTGCCAACACCTCAGTGCGGGCCAGGAGGGCAGCACCGCCACATCTCAGCCCCTGAGGGTCCCCGTGCGGTTCTA